AACCCGCTGTACTGTGCTAGGACTTAGGGTTATCAGATCTAGCAAATCAAAATAGAGTACAGTAAGTTCTCATGTTTAACAAAATACAGTACAGTAAGTTCTCATGTTTAATCTGAGACTTTAAGTGAAATGCATAATGAAGCCAATTTTATCATAGGCTAATTGATATAAGCGAGAGTTTATTTCCTAAGGCACATTTCTGGACACAAAAATTTCACCAAATTTCTAAATAAAGATTCAAAAACTTGAAACAATAATTTGTATTCATTCATCCTCCAACCCACTTTTTCCTATCAGGGTTGTGGATCACGGATTCATTCCCACAACTGAGGACACAAGGCAGGAACCAAACCTGGAAAGGACACCCACTTATCCCAGGGTGCATCTCTCTCTGTCTCTCTCTCTCTCACAGACATACACACACACACACACACACACACTCTCTCTCTCTCAGACTGGGACAATTTAGACATGGCACTGAACCTTTACTGTGCACAGCTATGGGATTTGGAAGGAATCAGAGTACTGGAGAAAACCCATGCAGACATGGGGAGAATGTGCAAACAGTCCACACAGTGCAAAAATCCACACAGACAATGGCCCTGGCAGAGAACTGATTTTTTTTTTCTTCATCAACATTTTATGAGGGCCTCCCTGGTGGCGCAGCAGTTGAGCGCTGGGTTGCGAAGTTGCCAGCAGACTCTGCAGTGCCGGTTTGATCCTGGGCCACCGGTTGAGGGTCCCACATGGCCCGTAGACCTCTCCTGCAGCCCACTGCTCCCCTCAGCAGTGTACTTCGTCAGTCTGCCTGCTCTGCTCTCCCCTCGGGCTCTGGTGAATTCTCTCACCCTCCCGCACTTCTGACTGTACCCAGTGCTTGTATAAATAAATCTTTTTAAAAAAATTATATGAAACAACGTTGAACAAAACAGTTTTACTTTAGGACCTGCTATGTTTTACCTGGCAATCCAATTGAAATTAAAGTGCCACACAGCTAGGAATGTAGTAATCAGGGATACCTTCAACTTTTCAAAACAAAAAGCCAACAAAAATTCAACATTTGCCATGATACGGTTAACAACAATGCCAACTTTCCACCACCTTCCCACCCACCCCCAATTCAAGGTGTTCTCTCATCTGTTGTCTTATTCTGATTAGAAGTTTTCAGTGCCAACTATATGAGCCTCTGGAATGGAAAAAAAAAATAAATAAAAAGAGAACACATTGAAGCAGGAAGTTTCCCAAGTCTGCTGCTTGGGGAGTGTGCTGCTTTGATTCTACTGCTTGCTGGAGCAGAGAAGTTGCTGGGTGTACTGCACTGCCTGTCCCTAGTGGTAGCCATGGCTACCTTGACCCCCTTCCTGAACAATAGAGAATGCTTATGCTATGATGGATGGGCTAGCAAGTTTCCTTATGCAAACTGTATAAAACCCTGCCATTTTTGCACTTGGGTGCTCAGCCTTTTGGGAGCTATCTCACTGAGCCTGCCTGTGTGGTAATTAAATCTCTCTCTCTACTTCTCTGAGTGCCACCTGATTTCTCTGGGAAATTGCCACAACATCATTGATTACTTAAATGCAGTGTGTTTGAAAATTTATTCTTTCAAAGGTTGGAAACCATTGTTCTATATTAGAAATATACCCTCCAGTGCCTTGGCCACAAGCCACATGTGGCTACTGAGCAGCTCGAATTGCGCAGTCCATGTAAAATAAACATCAGATCTCAAAGACAGTATGAAAAAAATGTAAATGTTGATTATGTTGATTAATGTCAACATTTTGGATACAGTAGCCAAATAAAAAATATTAAAGTTAATTTTACCCGTCCATTTTTACTTTTTAATGTGACTACTAAAAAGCTTAAAGTTACTTGTACGGCTTGCATTATATTTCCATGCAGAGTGCTGACGCTCCAGGCTGTGAGATGCATAAAAGAAGATCAGGGCCGGTAGCAGTAGCACCTGAGTGCTCCAGGTTAGCTCATTGTCCACTAGATCAAGGGCTTGTGCCTGAGAGTAATTTTAATGTTTATGTTACTGAGTGTTTCTCTCAAAACAGAAAGTTGTTTACTGAGCATTCTCCTAAAGTCCTGTTCTCCCACTGCCTCTACTCCCAGCCCCTGGTATTAAGACACACACACACACACACACACACACACACACACACACACACACACACACATATATTTTAGGTTTGGGCACAGCCATCCAAGGAAAGGGGAGGTTGTGACAGTGACTCAGTGTTCAGAGACGCACACGCGGTGGCACGGAGCATGCGGCCTGCAGCAGGCTGACGATCTAGAGTGACCACACCTGACTCCACAGTGTGGCTCTTCCCAGCTGCTCTGCAGTTAGCCTGATGGACAGGCCTGAGCTCACACTAGTACTACTCTTTAGTTTATTTTTCCCTCTGTAGCTGTTTCTGCTTTTTTGCATGTAGCTTCTGGAGCTTTGTCTGATTCCAGTAGAATTCAAGATCCTGCTTGAGAAGCTTCTCTCTTTTTCTCACTCTGATTTTCTAGTTCTTTCTGTTTCTTTCCCTTTGTTTTCTGCCTTTCCCTCAGGTGCTTCCTGCCCCTCCATCACGCCCTTTTTGTTGATCCAGCCTCTTAAGTATCTGCCTCTCAAGCTGCCTCCTTAATGAGGCATCGCTCAATTGGTTGGTGGAATCAAAAGAAACCTCCACTTTGCAGCCCTGTGGTGCGCCCCTTTGTGCTTAAGCTTCATCCAGGATCAGACCCTCGGAGCTTGAGTGATGCCAGTGTTCTACCAGACGCACCTAAGCTTCCATGTTCAAGTGATCCCTGAAACTGAAGGCGTGGATGTTCCGTGTCATCTCCTCCAGGTATGGCCCAGCACGGGGATCTCCATCTTCTGTATTTAGCCAAAACTTCTCATATGCATTGTTGAGAACCTTGCGGGGCTTCTTTGAGTAACTCCTTCCCTTGGCGTTTGTGGGGCAGCTTCTCCAGAGGAATTGTGTCTGGCTTCTTTCTGTGCAGTTGTTTTGTTCAAATTCTTGTCAAATTGTGGAAGGAAGCCGCCGCAGCCAGGAAAATTGATTTTGAACGCTGCTGCGTGCACATTGACGCCGTTGGGAAAACTTCTGGGCTTAGTGTTCTTGCAGTGGAGGAAGGGCAGGGAAGTCTGCACCAGACTTTTATAAGACCAAGGTGCTCTTGGAAATTCCAGGGTGGAGAACCGGTGATTGTGCACCAGGCTTGTGAGCTCTTCCACTACCTCCTAGTTGGGTATGAACATCCTGGACAGTTTCCTCTGTTGGAGGGCTGGCTCATGGTCACCTTTGTCATGGACTTGAGGCAGAGACTGCAGGAAGGGACAGCTCTGTTGCCTCAGATGTGTGGTGAACTATGGTAGCCACTGTCCTGGTGGGCCTCCACCTGCTTCCTAGGCCACTGCTGTGCCTGCCCAAGTGCACTGGGTCCCCAAAGACCCAGGCGAAGCCTCCCAGCCACCATCTGCCCTGAGGTGGCCTTGAGGCAACTCACAAAGGTAAGACATTATTTTTACCTTTTGAGGAACTCAGTCTAGAGGAGACTGAGACCAAAGAATTACAAAATTTGCCCTCTGTCTCGTCCACAGTTGTGTGGACATTGTTTGGAGCATCTGCTGGGTAAATGTTTGTTAAGTAAATAAATGAACGAGTGAATGCAGAGTACAAGGGAACACAGAAGGGGGGTGGTCAGAGAAGGATTTCTAGAGGAGATGCTGATTCTAATGCATCAGACAGAATAGCCAGGCTAAGCAGGCTGGAGAGAATGTACTAGAGGGAAACGGGGCAAGGTTGGCTCAGGTGTTCAGTTACTAATTATTCCTGAATTAGAGAATTGGGGGGCGATGTGGTTGGAGATAAGGGGAGAGTGCCACTTTAAGAGCATGATATGCAAGGCTGCTGGTTTAAGATTTTATCCAAAAAATGAATGGAGAGTCACTTTTAAGCAGAGGAGGTGTTTATAATATGTATCATGTATCAGTCTGGGAACATAGTAGAGAAGTGGTTGGTTATTGTTGGGTGAATTATTGTCAGGCTTTTCTGCCCTCCGGCCTTAGGGTTGATGATGGATCCCTGCGGTCCTGAACGCATGCCTGATGGGGGGCACCTGGAGTGGGGTGTGGGCCTATGTAGGTGGGTACACCTGGGCTGAAATGGGGCTCATAAGGGTGATGTCATGGGATGCTAGAGGAACAGAACAGCAGGGCCATGAGAGAACACCAGAGAGCCCAGAAAGAGTGAAGATTCTCTTGGGGCTGGGAGGCCTGCAAGCACCCCTGCCTGCCGTGTACCCGGTAAACTCAGTTAAAGCCTGAAAAAGCCACAGAGGGCTGCAGGACTCTCCTTTCCCTGTCTGTTTGGGTCATAGAGACCCTGTGCTCCGTCCCTCCCTGCCTCGACAGTTAGCTAGCGCTAATACTGGAGGCAGGAGACCAATTAAGAAACTGGTGAATAATTCAGGCAAGGAAAGATGAGTCGAAACACAGACAGTGAGACTAAGATACCAGGAGGGGAGGGTGCATTTAGCAGATGTCTAAGGGTAGATTTTGTTTTTGTTTTTGTTTTTTGTTTTTTTAAAGGTAGATTTGACAAGACTCGAGGACAAATTGAATGTTGGGAGTTGAGAGCAGGGTGGAAGGTAATGTCCTGGTTAGTGTCTCAGGCCACTGGCTACTTGGGGGAGCTATTCACCAAGATGGGCAACACAGGAAAAAGTGGTCTAGGAATGGAGTGAGGTAGACTGGAGAATAGTGCAGCTACATTTCAAATTTGAGGCTTCCAATTAGAGATATTCTAGTTGGGTTTGAAGGATGGGAGACCTGAGGGGCAGCCGTGCAATATAGGGCAGCTCAGGATGGACAGGGGCAGCTCAGGATAGAGGACAAATGTAGAAGCTGAGAAAACAGAGGGCGCTGATGCTGCATTGCCAACGGGCTTGCCAAGTGAGAAGAGTGACTAGAGAGCGGCCGAGCAGGAAGGACACCTCACCTTTGCATTTGTCACAGATCGGGTGGCATCTCTCACACGCCTGCGTTTCTTGGTCTGCATAGTAATGCTCTGGGCAGGTGGGATGACACTCTCCCTGGGAGCGGAGCAGGAAGAAAAATGGATCACAGGACAGGCAATCTGTGGGCCTCGGACCCCGGCATGTCTTGCAGGTCTTGTGGCACCTCTCGCACCGCCCAGTGGAGTTTTCTGCGTAATATCTGGAATCAGTGGGGGGAAGTAAAGAGTGAATACTAAGCTTTGCTCCTAAGTTGGGTGTGCGGGGAAACCTTGGTTAGTCTCACAGTGTTCACTGATAAGTTGGGAATCCTTATACTCTTTACTCATCAGGTTCTTTGCTAGTTAAACTAATTATTCTAGTGATGCTCTGTTTTCTATAAATTGCGAATTGCAATCCCTTGTTGCTTGTGAGGATAAAGTTTGATAACACGCGTGACCTGGTATGAATTTAACTCACAGGGTAGCAACACTCTAATTGCTCACTGCCTTTGCCTTCTGCTTATTTCTGCATGTTCACACAAGTTTTGAGTTGTGTTAAATGGGAACAGGGAATAGAAAACATTTAAAATGTACCCCTGAGCAGTTCTCTTAATTTCTCAAAATAGAAACATCTTGAAATAGGTGGTGACATGAGTTGATGTTGACTTTTACATAATAACAGATGTGGCCTCTTTTTGAAAAGATATTTGGAGATCGAGCAGCAATAATCACCACTCGTTAAGTCTCTACTATATGCCTGACAGTATGTTAGAGATTCATGAACAGTATTTCATCATATTGAAGCTAAAAATGAGACACTAGAACAGAGCTTATTAGGAGCTTGCCCCCCGGAACAAATCTGCATGGAGTCAAAATCCATCCACACACGTATGAACTGTGTGACCTTGGGCAAGTCACATATCTGTATCTCAGATTTCTCATTTGTACGATGGTGCCAGTGTTAGTGCCTAAAATCAAGCAAATTATTACTTAGAATGTTGTAGAAAAGTACCTGGCACATTAGATGTAACAATTGACATTAGTGATAATTATGAATTTTGTAACCGATCGTCCAACCTGACGAGTTTACAGATGTTAGACAACTTAAGGTGAAACAGCAAGTGGAGTGGGGGATATCGTTGAGCTTACCCATTAAATTCCACTGTAACAGAGCAGAGCATTAATTTGAAGGTAAATGAAATAGTTTCAAGTACCATAGAAGAAAGTGAAGGATCTCTGGACCCTCACACATGGAAGCTACACGAGAAACCTGAAGGCTTGCCTTTTATTTCTCTGTTGCAAAGCTATTGACCCCTTAGACTTTTTAAAATTTATTTCAGTTTTACTAACTTGTCGAAAGCTAGCACCGTGGCTACTATGGCATGCATGGCACTAAAATGAGTGATACCAGCAATCATTGCTACAGAAGTGAAGAAAAGAGATGTATGACCCTGGATGAAGGAATCTGGGGAATGTCCAAGATTAGAGTCTCTGGAAACTCTTTGTGCCTTAGACTACTAATTGGGAAGGGAGAGTTAGCAACAGGCATGCAATTACTTTTTCTCTTTTCGTGGCATGACTTGGGCATGGGTAGAGGGAAGAATGACCAAGTCAAATCCTCCTCTATCTGTACTGCTGACCAGCCATCTCATAAAAACAGTTTTTCCTAGTAAAAAAAGAAATAATAGGTTTTATCTGTGAAATGCTTTTACAAGGATACATCTGTATATCCAGGTTGCTTATGGTAACTAAACCTTCCATTTGTACATTTATGGAGGCAAGGCAGGTTGGAGAGCTAACGAGATATAAATGGAGACGTTTGACTGAAATTGTCCCATTTGTTACATCAATGCTTCACATATATTGCTTAGACCTATGTATGAAATCTGATTAGAACGAATCCTAATGCAGAGAGAAAGAGCCTATGTTCATGTTCTTGGAAGTCTCCAGGGAAGAAGGTGTTGTTTGTGACCTGGGATTGCTGAGCCTTTGAATTATGAGTGAAGTTTTGCCTGCCAGTGACAATGTGATCCTTTGTATTATCTTAGTGGGTCACTCTTGGTTCCTCTTCCATTATTGTGAAGTGGCTGAAACCCTTTAGAGACTGTTGAACTCTCATCTTTGTGCCTTACTAGCAGTGAGACTTCAAACTGATTATGTAAGTGTTCTGAGACTTTGTTTCCTCACCTGCAAAATGGGTTTGCTAATAGTGATAGCTGGTGTGGTTTGGGGATTAAATGAGGGAAAAAAAGGGTAACGAGCATCTCACCCTTCCCTGCACTGGGGCAGGCACTCCTTTCCCAGCTGGAACCAGCCTGGTTGGCAGGAGAGGCATTGCATGCTGTGTCGTCCTTCACATGTCTTACAAGAACTGTGGCAGGGGATACACTGGAGCCTGTCCTTATAGTAGCCCTCAGGGCATTCCTTCACACAGGTTGTTTCTGCCAGGGGAGGAAGAGAGTCTGTCTTGGCATCAAGTATGATACATGTCTCCCAGACCTCCCCTGTATGCTCCCCATTGTGCCTTGTGAGGACAGGCTACAGGAGGAATGAGACAGTGTCCCCATGGGCTGGTGGACATCCTTGGGAGTTGAGATGAATGTCCAAGAAATAGAATTGGCCATCAGAA